AATGGATTATTTAGTGGTTCAAAGAAGGTTAGTTAGTTCATGCCTGACACCATTTTCATCACATAAAGTACGTGCTAAATATGGTATAGTGTAATTTTTGTACTTAGACGTACGTGCATAAATTCTTCTGAAAAGACTTCTTGTTTTACCTGAGGAGACACAATGTTGGAGCTGCGGGTAGAGTGGGTGCTCACACTCTGACAAAATTCCTTTAGCGAATTTGTTGCATGACATCAAATGCCTATCCATGACAATGTCAACGATGTGGCCGAACGGGATACCACTCGTCCTATTGACAGTCTTAAGATTTCTACGAAGTATGACATAGTCGCGCTATGTCGTGAATTGGCAGAAGTTAGAAGTCATAGGTTAGTAGCTTAATGGTCTACGAGCTCGCTGGCCTTGTAACCAGAAGGACCTAGTTTCGAACCCTGGTGGTGGGTGCTTACAGATGAAGAGTGAGAAACTAGAACGAAGCAACTGTCCAGTACTCCCGGGTTTTCCATTGGTTCTCTAACCAATGAAATGAAATAATGAAATCCTGTAACCAACCAATCAAATCCCTAATAACCAACACTTGAATTTTTTAGCTATTATTTCTCGAAGTTTCAATGCCAGTCATTCAGTGGCTACGTCTACTTTGAATGCTAATGTCATATATTTACCTTTTTTCTGAACACTTCGTAGACACTTCTCTCTATCTGTTCTTCTTCATGAAGACTTTAACGAACTTTTCTGGATATCCGTTCTCAAACCAATACCTGAATACCAGTGATATGATCACTAGCGAATGGCCCTATTGAGGTCGACGATTACCTAGGTTTTAGTGTGAATTGGTGACCATTAGTGTACATTATGTTAGGCGTGAGGAGAAATACTCGTCGAAGACATTGGCTAATGGTCGCACTATTTCGCGAATCGGTAGAAGTTAGAATTCATGGATCGTTGAATTCGGTCCCAGTGGCTAAATAGTCTACGAGCTCGCCTTGTAACCAGAAGGTCCCAGATTCGGACTTAGATGAGGTGGGTGCGTACGGATGAGAAGTCTGAAACTGAATCCGTAGAAACAGCTGTCTACCAGTACTCCCAGTCGATTTCTTTCAATGGTTCTGTAATTGGTGTCAGGTAATGATGTAATTCTGTAACGAATAACTTTTCTGTTTCCCTAACTTCATCGTCCGGATTACCCGCCGTGCTTATTTTAGTCATAGATTCACAATTCATCACTATGATTATTATTCTGCTCACACTCTCAATGATTATATTCAATCCTATTGATCCACATTGTTTCAACTGTCTATTACTGTCTATTTTATTATGTAATTGTGATGCCTGATGAAAATTCACTGAAACTACGTGTTTGCTGGCCTAATTCATATTCTAAAATTATCTCAATGTAAGAAATGTCAAAGTCGACAAAAATTGGATAAGACGTATTTTATCTGCAGCGTGTCAATGCAATTGCGCAACATATTTTTGACAATCAAATGTTACGCCTCCTTGTCACAGATATACATAAATATATACTAATTGTAACAGAATAATTGCTAAGAAAATCCATCGTCAATCATCTACTCAAAATATTGATACATATATGGACATTTCAGCTCACTTTGTAGGCAATTTTCCTTTTTTTATCCCTTTTGGTCTGTTTAACGTATGCAGATCATACGATGCCTTGAATCTCTTTATTTGTATTTTTACCCCCTGTTTAATCTTAGATTGCAGTGTTTCACATTGTGTTGGTTGTGCGATACATTGGTAATTCGCTCTTTATTATTATTTCCTCGTGCTCCCCGTGGAACACAGAAATTCGAAAATCAAACTTCCTTTGTTTTGTTTGGTGCTGTCTTCTTCAACTGGGTCCACGTTTGCCATTGATCTCTCATCTCCTCCTGCCCACATGATCTCATCAATATCACCCTCGAACGATCCACTCGTTTTTCATTTACCAGTTGATTTTATTTGAGTGAATCAGGGTCATACTGACAATGGACTGTTGGCGGTAATTTTCGGTGCGTGACTGTTGTGAAGAAAGTTTTCATTTCACCTTGTTGGGAATATTCAACTTAATGCTAACGTGGAATTCTTACGGTTGAATTTAGATGAACAGTTTTGTTATATAGTAATTGTTGTATACTAGATTATTATCTAACCTGCATTGCTGCCTCACGGCACTGTTGAGATCATTTTGAGTTTTGATGTTATTTTTGTCGAAGAGAACCATGTAGATCCAGCTCTACACTTTCCATTCGGTTTCCACTCGAGCGATGGCCTGGCGTGTGATAGATGTCACTTGATGGTTTTCTCAGAGTATGGTCGATAAACCTCCATTTCCTCCTGCATATTTGTTGCACAATCGGCTCCTGGTTGGTTCGTTCTGAGAGATCCCTGTCGCTGATGTCCTCCTGCCAGCCATCTGAACTTGAGTGTTGAGAGAAGATAGCTGTTAATGAAGGTGTGTAGTTTGTTCAAAGTGGCCTTCGTAACGCGCTAAGTCTACAAAACAGAGACTTTGCGAGTCATTAAGGCCACTTTGAAGAAACTACACACATTCATTAACAGCTATTTTCGCTCAACACTCAAGTTCAGATGGCTGGCAGGAAGACATCAACGACAGGGATCTCAGAACGAACCAACCAGGAGCCGATTGTGCAACAAATATGCAGGAGGAAATGGAGGTGTATTGACCATACTCTGAGGAAATCATCAAGTGACATCCATCACACGCCAGGCCATTGCTCTAGTGGAACCCAGCCGAATGGAAAATGGCGAGTTGGTCGTCAGTGGGAAGGTGACAAGTAGGAAGTCATGTGAAGAGGAGATGAAAGCATATGGGCAGATGTGGAGCCAAGTGAAAACGCTAGCAGAGAGCCGAACGCAATAGAGACGTGTTGCTGAAGCCCTATTTTCCTCTAGGAATAAAGGAAATAATAATAATATGTGAGTGAAACTCCCAGACAGGTAAATATAAGAGTAAATGAGCATAAACAACATCCCAAGGTAGTTCCTGAATCCTCTGCAGATTTGAAGCTAGAAAATAAATTGCTGACTACACTGTAGTCAGTAGAAACGGGACAGAAGATCAACTTTGATAAGACCAAAGTTGTAAAGGATTGCTTTGGATCATAAGAAGTGTTTGCAGTGCATGGTAAAATAGACTAATGCTAATTCTGATCGCCATTTGCCTAACCTTCCTTTGCTTTTGTTGTTATTGACCTTACTATCATTATTTTTGCTATCATTATAATCTTCGTTGTTACTGACATTCAAAACACTTAACAGTTATTATTATTACTTCGAATCCACAAATTCACCGTCTTTGGTTAATTTTTATACATAGAGCCTAAAGAAGATCCATTTGAAAACAGTACCGTTCGCTTTTATGTTTTGTCTTAATCGTAACATGTGTAGGACTCCAATGAATTTGAGTACATGACTCAAACAACTTTTCTGTCTGAAAATGATTGACAAATTCTCATGACTTAACAAGGACTCAGTGAGGTACTCTATGAAAATGACTTTATGGTGAAGATCCTTTTTATTGAGAAGTTGAGATTTATGTTGCCTTGTAAACTTTCATTTGATAATTGTAACCTTCCTTTTTTCCTTTTGAGTTGAATCTTGCTTCCATGATCCTGCAGCACTCGAGATCTGACTACCACTGGTGACATCGTGATAGCCACTCACTGCCTCAGTGTGCCCGTGACTGTGTTCTGGGTGACGAGACTGGAGAAGATTACTGAGTTACCAGTTGAAAGTTTCGGTAGTCCAAATCCGTTACATCTGCTCTGGCTTTCACCAGCCCGCCATGTCATTTTGCCCCTCCGATTCCGGTGAAAAATCTGTTTGCTTTTTAAATTTTTTACTATATTTCTTGTGCGTTAAAGTTCCTCTAGCAGTTTGATAGCTTTTGTGATGTAGGGTTGCTAGCCCGACGCCCAAACCTGCCTCTTTTTATCCTTGGCTTGAAACCAGCCAGAAAAGTAGCGAGCTAGTAAGCTAGGTGAGGTTGAGGAGGCAGTCGAATGACATCGCAAGCTAAGCCCTTGGGTGGAATCCCAATGGGATGCGACGGGTAGGCCATCCGATGATGGCATGGAGGAGATCGTGTTGCGAGAAAGGGGAAATGAGAGATTATGAACCATTGTGAACCCAGCTGAAGAGGACAGCACTAAATTCAACAGAGTGGAGATGTGTCGTTGAAACCCAAGGGATTAATAGAAAATAATAAATGCCATCTGGAAGATGATGTCAAATCCCACAGTGTTCATCCACTTACGTGGATGCATGGCAACACGCATACATGCAGGACTCATCTTTGAATGCAAGTTAAGTTTATTAAGCATATTTTCAATCGGCTACGAGGACAAATGAAACCACCGAACTCTACTTACTCTGGAAAAAGATTCCCAAAAGCCATATATCACAAAGCATGTCACAGAGAAGAGTCATAAAACGAGGAACCTAATTTTGATGTCCCAGGGAGCACCTACAAATGTGGCTAAATAAAGGCGTTGTTGTTAAAACTACCAGCAGTACTATGTCAAGTCATTTTGTCCAAACAGGCCACAGAGCCAGCCCCATTGAAGAGTTTTTCTCTACCATCTATCGGGTATTCAATGAATTACCAAAGGCCTCTAGATATCGAACACTCCAATCAACAGAGGCCATTGCAATTTGCATGAATCAAGTGGACCTCGGTTACTATTACTATCGCTATCATGACCTGCTCTCAAGCCTATAAATTCCTTACTTTTGTTTAATCTTTATTAATTTTTCTCATATCCAATCAGTTCAAGGTTATATTAATGTATATTAATTTTCCCTTACTGATGCTTTGGTGAAATATAATTTATCCATAATATTGACTAGGTGTAATTTAAAACATTGATGTTGTAGAACCTGATGAAGAGAAAGTTATCGAAAGGAACATTCCTCGTCCACCCATTAATTAGTCTTTTTAAAATTATAGGCAATTATAGAATTAGATGACTCACGTGTATTTCAGCAGATCTCTTCGAGAAGCAGTAAAATATTTCTTTTTAAAAAAATAGAATTACATAATCCACAATGCTTATTTCAAACTATAAGAATAACTTAATGAAATAAATCTCAAAACTTTCTGTTATCTCAAAATATAAGAACAATGTGTATTCCTGTATAAGAAGGTGAAATTTAAATATTTCGATCAATATAAAGTTCAATAAAAATTGATTAGAAAGCTTATATGTCTTATTGCATCCCATCTTTTACTTGTATGTTGAAATATTTCGAATAAAGTAAGACCAGCAGTGGCTTGTACAGAATAATATGGTACCATCAATTATTTCGTCAGCGTCTCATCATCTGCTTGCAGCTCGAAGATATTATTATGTTTATGTACAGATTTGACACAGACTACTTCCTTCACTTATCTAGGAAGCATCGTTTCAACCACAGGCTGAACGGATGAAGATATCAAAGTCAGAATCGGAAAAGCAAGATTAATCATCACCAACCTGGAACCACTTTGGAAATCTTCTACATTAACGCAGGATAAAGAACGTGATTCTAATTTTCAATACAAATGTGAGGTCAGAGTCTTCTGAACACCTTGAGCAGCAATCTTCGTATATTTGGCATGCGATTCGCCCCTGTAAAATGTAAGATGCTGCTACAGGACTGGACTACGTCAACTCCTAGCTTAGTTTTAGGGAGTGAAGTGATAGAACATGAACAAGTTGACCACTTCACCTATTTGGGAAGTTGTATCAGCACTAACGGATTGATTGGCGACGAAATCTCAGCACGGATCCGAAAAGCTCCAGCTGCTTTCGCTAACTTACACCATCTCTGGCGTAGGCGTGATATCTGGCTATCAACCAAGGGACGTGTGTACTGCTCACCAGTTCGCTCCGTCCTTCTCTATGACTGGCTCTGAAACATGGCCAATACGAGTTGAAGACATGAAAAGGTTGACTGTTTTTGATCATAGATGTCTACGATCTCTTTCTCACGTTAGGTGGCATAATAAGGTAAGTAATGTTGACGTCAGGCGTAGAGTGTTGGGCAAGGAGGGAAAATCAATCGAAGAGGCTATGAAGTTACATAGATTGAGATGGCCAGGTCACGTGCTGCTCATGCCTAACCATCGCCTCCCCCGACGGGCATTACTAGCTGATATAGGTGCAGGTTGGGAAAGAGTAAGTGGTGGCCAAACAAAAACATGGCCTCATCAATCCATGAAATCCCTGACAGTTAAATTAGTCAGGTAGGGAGATGCAGACTTCCGGGTTGGGGCCCGCCCTCTAAGAATCAATGGCTGGAGACAATAGGTGACATGGCTAAAAATCGTTGTCAATGGCTTATGCAGATGTATTAAGTCTCTGTAATCTTTCATATTCCTTTCTACCATTACTCATTCTGTTTCACTCTTATACTTATCTAAATTCTATTGTTTCTCTTCTCTCATTTTCCTGTCTACCTTTGTGTGGTATTTGGAACGTGGCAACTGGAACTGCTGCACTTCGGTGCCAAGTTCTATGTTGAATCCAGCCAGCCAGCCAGCCCAACAGATAAATGGGAGAAAATGGAGATGTATTGACTGGCCATATGTTGAGGAGACTGTCGAATTTTATGGTGCGGAATGCAGGCCAGTGATCGAGTAGAATCCCAATGGGAAGTAATGGGTGGGTCGTCAGTCCGAGGGTAACACGGAGGAGATCGTGTGAGGAGGAAGAGACGAAAGATTATGGGCAGTCCTGTACCCAGCTGAAAAGGATGGCAGAAAACAGAACAAAGTGGAGATGTGTTGATGGAGCCCTATGTTCCACTCGGAATCCAGGGGAATAATAATAGTATATAGTAATACAGAAACAGACTTAACGTACTTTCACAGAAAGTTCATTTTTAAACAAAAATCAATGTATACATACAAGTGTAATAATAATAATCACTTTATTCCAAACAATAATAATCACACAAAATGAAATTTTTGGTGTTACCTAATCAAATGAAAGAAGGGATAAAAACCTATAGTTACCATGATGGTCAAAGCAAGGAGTGATAACCGCTTCTCAAAAACTCAACCATACCCTACTTAGCTCGTGTTCTGTGTGATAAAGAAAGCATCAGGCGTGAGACCTATAATTCATTAAATAGTCATTAGTACAACTGGATCTCATCTTTCCAACCCACTTCACCAATAGGTACAACATTTTCTTTCTGTTCCTTTTCTCTCTCTTCTTTTTCCGTTATGTGCTGCTTTGTCTCTTTCTCTCGCTTACGCCAGTTAATAAGACAGCTCCCACTTTTCTAACACCTTCAAACACTGTTTCAGCTTTACCTTTGCTACTGACATGCCAATGTATTGTTGTAATAATGAACTGTGGTTTCCTCAATCTATGTAGAATTCTATTTATTGTTAATGTACAAACTGGATGCAATACTGTAGTAAACAAAATGCTGAGAATTCCATTCTGTATCACATGTACTGTTTTGGAATAAAGCAAATTATTATTATTATTATTCTTTCACAACACACATTAATCGCCTTTCAGGCACTTGATGAAGATTGCTTCGGCAAACTTGAGAAGAACTGAACTCTTTTGCCTATTGATAATTTTGAATGATTTCGCAATGTCCACCACGTAACTCGTGTCAAGGAGATGTCTGGTAGTAGCACTTTTGAGAGCATTTATTCCCCTGAGGCTTTGGCTTTGTGGCACATATTCAAGAAGCTGAAAGTGTGCCCTTCTTTCTGTTCTCCCAATGTAACTGCTCTCGCAGATACATGTAAGTTTGTATGCACAGTTAGCGTTAACATGGAAAGAATGGGTATCTTTTGAATTTAGATTGTACCAAAAAGCCTGTTGTTAAATAAACGGGAACCAACTTAGCTGGAGGATAGGTACTGGCTATTGAGGTATCCATTCACTCTTTTGTTAACTATTCCTTCAATATCATCACCTTGGAAATCAAGTTGAATGAAGATAGGCCTTTTCCCACTGTGATTTGTTTCATATTTGAGCTTTCATATCTTCAGTGCTCGTTAATATATCTTTGAGGGTAATCGTTGGTTTTCAACATCTTTTCGAGAATCAGTAATTCTTCCTTTAATTTCTCTGTAAAGCATATTCTCTTGATTCTATAGAACAGAGTTTTGACCAGTGCTCGTTTATTTCTATTTGGATGAAGACCGTTAGAATGCAAGTATTGCCCATTCCATGTAAACTTTCTGTAAATTGACCTCTGGAGACTACCATATTCTAGGCGTCTCATAGCAACGTCGAGGAAGTCGAAATTTCCATCATTTTCATGTTCCACAGTAAATTCAACATTGGTTTGCACGTCATTGAATAATCTGAGTAAATGGGAAACATGACCTTCATTGTTGCACGCTGCAAATGTGTCATTAAAATATAGACAGTAAGAAGTTGTTTCATCGATTGGATGCTTTAACTTTGTTATTTCAAGGCTGGACATAAAGATGTCTGCTAAAACAGGACTAAGCGGACAGCCCAAAGCGAAATCATCTTTTTGGCTGCAAACCGTGTTATCAAACTGGTACACATTAGCAGTAGGAGTATGAATCACGACACCAGAATTGGGAGAAGATCAGAATCTGAAAAATAATTTCGATAGTTCCATTGATTTCTATCCTTATGAACAAGGATATTTCATTTAATTACATTACACCAAAAATTCCATTTCGTATGATAATTATTGTTGTTTGGATAAAGTTATTATTATTATTACCATCGTATGCATACATAGATATTTCGTTCAAAAATGAACTCTCTGTGTAAGTATGTTGCGATTGTTTCCGTACACAAGTCTTACTAATGAATGTCTTTGGGCTGTAAGCAGTTGGTGAGAATCCAACGGAATAAATGATGGTACCATTTTATTCTGCACAAAATGTTATTCTTGCTGTATTCAAATTCATAAAGGGGAATAAATGTATGAAGTTTCGTTGAATTTTTGTTGTTATTAGATAATTTTAAGCAATCAGCACGATACCCTGCCTGACCATGGTTTCGTGCTTGTTAGCAGTGACCAGTCAGCAAGGCGTATGTCCAAGCCTGGAGGAACTCATGTCTACACGGCGGCCTGCTTAAATCTTGGGCTACCAAAATTTCCATCCTACATATTGCATCTATTTCCTCGGATTTATTTTATTTTAATCATTCAATTATGTGTCCTAATCGTATTGTTTACTCTCGCGGTTATTTAAAACGTTTCCAACCGGCTGATTTACTAGTTTCTAACAAACTTAAGAAAAAGCCTCATGGTGGATGGCAACGAGCTTTAAAGCGTACTCCAATGCATTTGATGACTGTTCCTGTGATCATGAGCACAAATTGCAGATCTCTACCAAACAAGATTAATTACTTGCATTCTCTATTATACTCAAATGTATATTGTAATGCTGCTGTAATTACTCTTCAAGAAACTTGGCTGCACGATTCATATGACGATAATTTAGTCTCTTTACCTGATTTCACAATGTACAGACAAGACCGATGCAGCTCAAAGAAGAAGAGAGGTGGAGGTGTTGCCACTTTTATTAATTCTCAGTGGTCTACTGCCAACAACGTCTGCTTCAAATTCTCAAATGACAACATTGATTGTATAACTGTTAAATGCCGACCTAAACACTTATCTAAGTATAATTGCATTTTTGTCACAAATATCTATGTCACACCTTCTTGCAGTCCCTCAGAACTATCGATCTTTGCTGACAAATTCACTATTTTCGCTGCTGCTTCGTTTGGTAACTCCTTGTCTGTAGTAACTGGTGACTTCAACGCCAGTGACTACAGTTTTATTACATTGCTGGGTCATGAAAATGTGGTTAACTTCCCAACTCGACAAGATACTTCGCTTGATTTAGTATTCATAAATGATTCTGGAATATACGAAGCTCGTAAAAGAGCTCCACTCTCAAACTCTGATCACTGTATTGTACGAGTTCTACCCAAAGTTTATGGAAAGTTACACAAAAATGCCTTCACTAACTTGTCCAAGAAAGTTGTTCACAGATGTTACTCAAATGAG